AAATAAGTGAAGAATAAATTACACATGAAAAAAAAAAGCAATGAATGTGTAGCACAATAGTACCAAGTGCAGTTTGACGTGCAATACTGAAATTATAAAAATGTCAAAACAAAACTAACCTTTACAGTCATATCTTTATCAATTATAACCCTTTTTTCACACATGTAATTAGTTGCCCATCGAGCACATACAATGAATTCAACTACAGAATTTACAGTCCACAAACAATGCGGTTTGGAAATCTTCTGCAGACTTTCAGTCAACAGTGGAAATGTAAAATCCTTTTTAGTAGCGGCAACATTATCTGCAACCAATGGAGCATTCTTTTCACAGGCACATTTCTTGCAGCAGGTGCTTTTCTTTTACGTGACGGTTTGGATAAATATGAAGGCAGATTTGGAAAGATTGAGGGTATTGCTCCTTCTTGGAGTCTAGGGCGGCCCATTTCCAACTTGAATATTGTCCCATCGAACAACTTCGTCTCGTAAAATCGTTTTATATCACTTTCTGCAAAATGATGCTCGCATACAACATCCTTCTCTGAAAGTATTCGGTCGGCCCGAGGAATTGCATGTCTCCATTTGTCTAGCAGCACAGGATCCTGTAAAATATATTTCAACAAGTATGTATAAATATCAGAATTCAGTTACATACAAAATTAAAATACTCTTGTTGTATGCAATTTTTTTAACGTGACTTTGATGCAAATTTAATATTTAATGATTAAAATTTAATTTGAAAATAGTAATGGCAAATTAAAAATTTAATTGCAGCACTAACGCTTGAATAGTTTTACACATTCAAATTTAAAATCCTTGTGCATAATGGTTCTCACTGTGCAGTGTATCAAGATTTAAATCTTAATTTTTAACAGCCATTCAATTATGTGATTAGGTGGCATGATTTTATAATATTCATAACTTATTTAATATGCTGAATTTATCTCATGGAAAATCAATTTTTCATTACACTTATCTGCTGTTATGTTTTCACTCAACCATGCAAGTGAAGTTAATTTTAAGCAGCATAGTGTTCATTTCCATTTATTATAAAAACCTACTTCAAACGGAAAAGAAGGGGAAATGAGTTAATCTTCTTTTCTGTAAATGAAATAAAGAGGCAAATATTCCATCATTCTTGCATAATTCCAGAAATTTATTTAACTTTAAAATCTCAGGATTGCCTGCTTTCATGCACGAAATGCAAATGCACATAAGTTATGTGAAATATTTAACTAATTTCCAGTCTATTACTTTTTAAATACCCTCTTATTTACTAGCAATCCAGACGTTCTGTAAAGTTATATAAATTCGTCTGACTGTGATCAGGCATGATATAAATGTTGCTCACCTTTGGAGCTCTAAATATACTTGGATTCTTGATTCCCAAGCTTTTATTCTTCTGCCTAACAGATGTATAACCACTGTTGCATCCAGGGACGAAGCAGGTTGCATTACAAGAATTACTCATAATGGAAATTGATATCAAATCAACATTTTCTGTATTGCTGCCTATGTCAAATCCTACGAAAAGTAGAACAGCTAACGATTGCAGCGCCCTCTATAAATAATGCGACAAAAGTGGACCATTTTTGGGAAAAGTTGTAATACCAGTTTCCCCTCCTTGTTTATACCAAGGAGGTTAGAATAGAAGGAGGGAGCGTTCGCGGTTTCCTCTACAATCGGGGAATGAAACTTCGCCGAACAAGCGGCGTCCATGTTTGTGACTTCAAAACATTGCATTACGGCAGTGATATGTACGTGTTTCTAACCTGTTCCGTGCATTTATTTTCCAGTAAAAATATGTTAAATTTATAATGAAATCCCTCGCTATTGTTGAATTTTTGTTTTAAAGTAATAAAGATGATATCCATAATTTACTATGTACAGCAAATTATTAAGAAATAGTTCGAAATCTAAATGCATGCACATAACATTAAAGCCTTTAAAAAATGATGTTTCTGCGTATTCCACGGATTTGCTTAGGTTAGAAAATAAATCTTAATAAAATAAAACAGATTTATGTGAATTCATTGATTTCAGTTTATGCGCATTTCATATTTATTAATCTCGAAACTGCATTTAATTAAGTTGAATTACAGAAATACACAGAAATATAAGTTTTTGGATACATCTTTCCACATGTTCAATTGTGTAAATATTTTACTTAATTTTATCACTATACTGCTCAGAAATTTGTAAGTTTATGCAAAAAATTTTTAACAACAGAACAGTTTATTTTAACCTAAGAAAATGAATAATAATTAATATATAAAGAAAAGCATTGCTTTATTTAACACCTTTACAATTAATAAAAATAGTAACAATTGATTTCTTACTTTTCATGAAAGTTATAAAACGAATTAACTAAAACGTTCAAATTATAAAATTTAAATCCTACCATATAGCATTGTACCTTAAGGAACGAAGATACCAGCTATAAACAGAAACATTAAAATGTATTTAATATATTTTGATTATAGTTATATTAAATAACCTATTTTAAGTCCTTTTTTTCCCATCTGGAAAGAAAACCACATGACATTGTGATATTTTTTGACATAGTTGTCATATTACATAAAAAAAGAAAATTAATACTTACGTGTGAAAAATAATGGGCCGGAATTTTTTTCGAGAATCTAAATGTGCATCCATATGCAATACAAGCTGACATGCTTCAAAAAGAAAAGAAAAAAATGTTGCAATGACAGACTTCCTTGCACAAGTCACGGTGATAACAGGAAGATGGCCGCCAAGCTTCACCGTTTGAGTTGAACCTTCCCTCCTTCTATTCTAACCTCCTTGGTTTATACTCCGTGAACCTGGGTCTAAAAATCGCGAAATTATCGTTGATGCCAATGCTGCAAATAAGAATTGCGGATACCCTAATAATTGCGGCAAGAAAGGAAGTATAATAGTAAATAACTGTCTAAGATTGATGTTTTAATTTAGATGAAAGGTTAATTTCATGTAATACATTTTTATTATTATAATTTATATGAAAAAGGCTAAACATGGCTGAATGGAAGCATAAGAGTAAATAACTATTTCAGATCATTATTATAATATATATAAAAATAGCTAAACATAAGTGAATGGATGGCTGCATCGCTATTTCGCTACCGACTTATCGCTAAATCATAATTTCATCTCGTTGGTTGTTCAAACGTAATTTTCTATAATGAATATAAATGATGCCTTTTCTTTGAAAATATTCTCGGTAAAGTGCAGAATCGCTCATTTATTTGTTTGCCGTTTTTTACAAGGGTCAATTTCCCTCAATTTTCAAAGCGAATTACAAACAATTGGATTTTTGTCAATTTTCATTTACTTTTTAAGTGAAAATAGGTCGATGTGTACATAGATAAAGTCAAGCGTGTGCGCAGTACCATTTTTGTGCAATTCTAGGATTTTTTTAAGTGAAAATAGGTCGATGTGCACATGGATACCGAGTACGTGCAATTCTTAAAAACGCGTCAAGCAGTGAGTGATTCTGCACTTTACCCAAAATTCTGTTGCCGACTTTTTTTCATGGGCAATTCCCAAATTGTTAAATCCATAGGATGTCAAAAAAGGATTTAAAAATTAAACTAGTATTTCAATGGCGTCTTAAGAAATATAGAACTACATAAACTTGCGCAATCTGAAATCAACGCGTACGCTAGATTTGAGGTGCTGTTAAATGGTGGCGTTTGCTAGATTTGGCACTTTTGCGCCTACATTTTCGCTGCAATTTTCTTACGGCCCTCAAAACGGATCCTGCTGGCGGCAATAATTTCCCACTATTTGGATAATGTTCCACAAGATTTAAAAGGAGCGGTGCTCAGATTGAAGAAATCATTTCATGTCAAGAATTGTATAACTAGTTTCCAAACCAAAGAGGAATCCTAAACTCTGATGTCTTCAGGAGGTCATTCAATGTAATGTGTTACATTTCTTGAAAAACAAACATCACAAAAAATGCAATACATTTTAGAAAACGTTCAAGTTATAATTTGTTAGTATTTAGAAACTTTCTGAAAAAAATATAAGCTGGTGGCTTTGTGGAGTAAACTTAATACCCAGTATTAAATGAAAAAATAAAGCAACATATATTTTGCGCACGAAAAAAACTTGAGAAAGCCTTTTTCATGTGCATTTTTTACGTGGTGATCAAAAAAATAAATGTTGTCTGTAATTTTCAGTGCTACAAAATGAAGCAGAATGTTCTATACAGCAAGTAATTTTTGATTTTTGCGATATAACACCTTAAAAAAGACATAGGTGATTCACTAACACACTTCTTTCGCTAGAAATATTATTACAGAATCCACCGAATTTTCCATATCCACTCCGTAGCCTTTTATAAAAATGAAAGTTAGAAAGTTCTTACAAATCAAAAAAAAAAAAAAATCTTCAAAAAGATACGAAAAATGGAGTATGAGGAGAAAATGAATCCAAAACAAATCCTTCAATTGTTGGCATAAAAAATTGGTCGCTAAAAGCAGTCTCCGGCGGTGGCTTATTCTGATTGATTGAATTTCTTCAGTTTCCGGCGGGTTTTAGCCTCCCGTTTCGAGTTCTCTTTCTGTTTCTTCTCTTTCGCGTTCTTTTCTTTCCTCTTTTTTTCTCTCAAAAGTAATATCTCTGCGTCACCGTCATAAATGCATATGAATTGACTTTTAATGTTAATTTAGCTAGATAAAAAAACCAAATTAGCAATGAGTCACCAGACATATAAATAAAGAAATCTTAATTTCGCTTTTCCTCATATATTTTCCTCTTTTCAATAGCTTCCCTTTTTCACATGATATTTACTTCCTTTGGCATAATAAAATATCGCCACATCCTTAAAGGAGCCAAATTATCTTCACCAAAGCTGTTCTACGAGAAATATCCAGAATTTCGTATCAAATGATAGGATATTGTTTTTCTCTCAAACAAAATTGCGCATCTGAGCTCGAGTTTTCGCCCTCCGGGCAGAAAGCCTCAGTGGATACAGAAGACGGATTATTTCTCGTTTTCAACATACGGCACGTAACTCTTAGAAATATGAATTGCTTATCCTTGTCAGATTCTATTTATTTCTCTTTAGAGACTGCTTTCAGCAATTTCTGTTTTTCTACTTTATCACGGAATATTTTAAAAGAGAATACACACAGTCATACATGAAAAAAGCATCATGTGTTTGAGGTATTGAATCAGTTGTTCAGATGAGGCACCGTTTTAGAGAAGCCTCGTGTATGACGTATGTAAGATCATGTTTACTCAAAAGTGTACTTTAAACAACCATATGCTTATTCACAGAGACAAACTTTATATCTGTGAAGTATGTAAAACGTCATTTACTTTTAAGGATAGTTTAAACACGCATATGCTAATTCACACAGGAGAGAAAGCTTATGTGTGTGAAATATGTAAGAAGTCATTTGCTTTTAAGGGTACTTTAAAGAGGCATATGTTTATTCACACAGGAAAGAAAGCTTATGTGTGTGAAGTATGTAAGAAGTCGTTTAGTCAAAAGTGTACTTTAAACTACCATAAGCATATTCACACAGGAGAGAAACCTTATATGTGTGAAGTATGTAAGAAGTCATTTAGTCTCAAGTGTAAATTAAATACGCATATGCTTATTCATACAAGAGACGAAGCTTATGTGTGTGAAGTATGTAAGAAGTCATTTAGACTTAAGGATAGTTTAAATAAGCATATGCATATTCATACGGGAGAGAAACCTTATATGTGTGAAGTATGTAAAAAGTCATTTACTTTTAAGGGCAGTTTAAATACACATATGCTTATTCACACAGGAGATAACGCTTATGTGTGTGAAGTATGTAAGAAGTTGTTTCGTCAGAAGTGTAAATTAAATACACATATGCTTATTCATACAGGAGAGGAACCTTATGTGTGTGATGTATGTAAGAAGTCATTTAGTCAGAAGTGTAAATTTAATACACATATGCTTATTCATACAGGAGAGGAACCTTATGTATGTGAAGTATGTAAGAAGTCGTTTAGACTTAAGAATAGTTTAAATAAGCATATGCATATTCACACAGGAGAGAAACCTTATATGTGTGAAGTATGTAAGAAGTCTTTTACTTTTAAGGATAGTTTAATGAGGCATGTGCTTATTCACACAGGAGAGAAAGCGTATGTGTGTGAAATATGTAAGAAGTCATTTGCTTTTAAGGGTACTTTAAACAGGCATATGCGTATTCACACAGGAAGGAAAGCTTGTGTGTGTGAAGTATGTAAGAAGTCCTTTAGTGAAAAGTGTACTTTAAAATACCATATGCTTATTCACACAGGAGAGAAACCTTATATGTGTGAAATATGTAAGAAGTCATTTAATCAGAAGAATAATTTAAATTATCATATCTGTATTCGCGTAGATGAGAAACCTAATGTGTGCGAAGTATGTAAGAAGTCATTTAATCGAAAGTCTTATTTAAATCGTCATATGCTTATTCACACAGGACAGAAACCTTATGTGTGTGAAGTATGTAAAAAATCATTTAGTCAAAAGGCTCATTTAAATAAGCATATGCTTATTCACACAAGTCGAAAACCATATGTGTGTGAAGTATGTAAGAAGTCGTTAAGTCTTAAGGATAGTTTTAACAGGCATATGTTGATTCACAGAGGACAGAAACCTTGTGTGTGTGAAGTATGTAAGAAGTCATTTGCTTATATGGGTACTTTAAACAGGCATATGCTTATTCACACGGGAAAGAAACCTTATGTGTGTGAAGTATGTAAGAAGTCATTTAATGACAAGGGTAATTTAAATCAGCATATGTTTACTCACACAGGAAAGGAACCTTATATGTGTGAAGTATGTAAGAAGTCATTTAATCGCAAGAGTTATTTAAATGAACATATGTTTATTCACACAGGAAAGAAACCTTATGTGTGTGGAGTATGTAAGAAGTCATTTAGTTGTAAGGGTACTTTAAATGAGCATATATGCTCTTACACTTAGGTCTCTGACCACTTTTTTTTTTTTTTACCAAAGACACTTCAAAAATTGCAGATTTTTAAATTCATATGTGAAAGCTGCATAGCAGTTTGCAAATATATGAAATTTGGGGATAATTATTCCCATCTGTTGGAAACAGAAATGTAATTTAAAGTCTAAACACCATGAAATGTATAGCTCTTAGTTAAACATTGAAACAGTGCGAGATGCTTTTTAAGAGATTAAAAATGCAAGCCCACCTGTATTGTGATTTGAGCGAATTTTGCTATATTTATTTTATAGTAATCAAAGGATAAGCTTTATAGAGTTAAGAAAATCTTCATACATGTGAAGTGTAATTTAGTCAAAAAGATTGTTTGAAGTATTTTATGCTTATGTATGCAAGATAAAAGTCTCATCTGTGTCAACTATGTAACAAGTGATTTAGAGGAAAGACTGATTTTAAACAAGCAATTCATACTCATGTATCATAAAAACCTTTTGTGTAAGGTATGTAGAAAGGTTTTTATTCTAATGGCAGATTTAAATATCTATCTCCATAAAGGAGAGAAATCTCACGAGTCCTTTGTGCAGCAAGTCATATGGATAGAAGATACTATAGAAAAATGTTTTTCTATCCTGAAGAGAAGTCTCTTTTGATGAGGTGTTATATTAGTAACAATGCTTATTTATGGATGCAGTAAGGAATTGTCTATGCAGCCAAGAAGCCTCATTATGTGAATTCAAGTATGGTTCATTCATACCAAGGGCAGAGTTTAGGATTGGTTCATGCATCACATTAGAGTTTCCATAGTGTGCTGAGTGGCAGATTTTAGGATTTGCGAGTATTATACTGGGTTGTATAAAGCCAACAACTGATTCTGTGTGAAATATGTAAATTGTCATTTTACCAAAATAAATAATAAACCATTTATTTATTTCCGCAACAGACAAAGTCCTTGTGTGTGCAAAATAAGTCATTTTAAAGAAATACTGACCTTTAAGTAACATTTGCTATTTCAAATAAAAATAAAGCTTCTTGAGCAGATACATTTTTTTCTTTTAAAGCATCTGTATACCAATGTATTTCAGGACATTTTTACTTATTCATAAGTGTTCACTCTTTACCTGCCATCTACCAAAATGCACTATGAGGATGATATCTTGTTACCAGTTTCAAATGCTTCTAATAATGAAATCTTTAAGTATGGCTAAATGTTTAACCCATATCTCTATTGTAAATTATGCATGTTTTATAATAAATTTGGCTTTTTGCGAGTTTAATGCAGATATCAATCACATCTTTGTATTTTATGATGGATTGTGCATGTAATGAAATAGTGTATTAGGTACTTTCATCTATAATAAACATATACTGAAGATTATGATTACCCAACTACAGTACCAAATACATTTTGCAATTAGTGCATAACATTCACAAAACAATACATGGTTGCCTCGTGTAACATTGGAGAAGAGAAATGAAATCTAAAGACTCTCTGTCAAAGCTTGGATGTACCAAGTAGAGCAATCCCATGTGTATAAAGTATTCAGGAAGACATTAGGAAGAATGAATCAGTTGAGAAACATTTGGAAGCACTTCCGCAGAGAACCCAGTAAATGTAAACATTGGCGATACTAGTTCAAACCTGGTAACCGAGCAGATACATCCTATTCGCTTGTTCAAAGGTTGCACCCATTCCTCTTGCGTTCATTTTGTTGAATTATCAATGTCATTGTTCGTATTTGAAGACTTGTATTATTCTTCTCTTATTTATTATTATTTTTTCTGAATTTTGTAACAACGAATAGATAGAAATATTTTCGTATAATTAAAGAAGTTTTCATCGATAGATGCCCTCAGTTCAGTTCGGGATCAAAGGAAGAAAATATGACGGAAGGTGAGGTTTCCAACCCCTAAAATAATTTGTTTTTGTAGGCCGCAAAAATGTGTGGCACAGCTTTAGTATTAGTCCTTTTTGGCACGATTCTATTTGGAGACTTTTTCGCACGATTATTGACAAATTATGGTAACCCTGTTATTTACTGTTTTATTTATGGTAATCCTAAAGCCGGAGTGCGCGATTTCAATTCAGTATTCCCCCCCTTTTTTTTTCTATGTAGTGAGCGCGGGATCGTTCGATTGGGGGGTTTATTATTTTTTATGGTTTGTATTTCAGGTAAGTTTTTTCTATTTTTTTCAGTATGCCTTCTGTTCTAAGTGTGTTTATTAAATATCAGGGTTTGCTACAGAGTACGGTTAGTTGGACTTGTTCCAATAACAGGCCAACTTTGAGGAAACAGGGTTACCAAATAGGAATTTTGTTACTGCTTTGTGTAACAACAGGGATTTATTTCTTGACTTTTTGAGAGGAAGCTGATTTAGTGAAAAGCGATTTAGTATGCTTGAAGTGTGGAGGGCTTATGAAGCTTGGTCCTAAAAAGACCGTTTCAGATGGTTGTGCTTGGATTTGCAGGAAAGTTAACGAGAGAAAGGTTTGTGGGGCTCAGAAGTCCTAAAGGTATGGCTTTTGGTTTTCATGCAGCAAGCTGAAGCTGGAGGAGATATTTCATTTAACGTTTGAAATAGTTAAGGGGACGCGAACATGCGATGTTCTTGACAATTTTGGCTTCTCGTCAGCTACTCTTAGGGACGTTGAACGATTTTGAGATTTGTTTGCGATTTCTGGCTTCTCGTCAGCTGAAACAAACGCCGTGTGATATGGGCCTTACTGATTGGCATCGGTTCGTTAATGAAGTGATTCTCGATCACGTTGAGCTGACGTCTGAGAAAATAGGTGGTGTAGGCAAGATCGTCGAAATTGACGAATCTAAATTTGGCAAGAGGAAGTATCATAGAGGGCATTGGGTGGAGGGTCAGTGGGTTTTTGGTGGGGTGGAGAGAGGATCAGGTAAGTTTTTTCTGGTTGCAGTACCCGATCGAACACAGGATACATTATTAAATGCCATTAAAGAATGGATAGAACCGGGTACACTAATTTACAGTGACTGCTGGAAGGCATATGACGTTATTTCAAGGGACGGTTTTGATCATTTAAAAGTGAATCACTCGATCCATTTTAAGGATCCTGCGACAGTGTCACACAAACACAATGGAAAGCACATTGAGGCATGTGAAAAGTTCTTTGCCGTCTTATAATCGGCAAAATGACTTCTCCTTTTATTTAGCTGTGTGCATGTTTAGGCATTCGTGCAAGGAGAAGAATATAAATGCGTTTATTGCATTTCTGGAAATTATCAGGGAAGTAAATTGGGAGAATTTTAGGTATGTCCTTTAGTGGGGTATGATTTGATAAATTTCATGTTTACATTTGCTTTCCATTGTACTCGTGATTAAATTGATAATTTGTGCAATATTATAATTTGTGCATAGAGTAATTATTATTTTTTAAGATTGTTATTTAGTATGGATCTAATTTGTGTTGGCTTTCCGCCATAAATGTGATAATTTGTACAGTATTATAATAGAGTTTATTTTCCAAGATTGTTATTTAGTATAGATCTAATTTCTGCCATAAATATGATAATTTGTGCAATATTATAATCAAGAGTTTATTTTTTAAGATTATTGTTTAGTATAGATCTAATTTGTGTTGGCTTTCTGCCATAAATGTGATAATTTGTGCAATATTATAATCAAGAGTTGGTTAATCTTCGGATTATGGTAACTTGGCGAAAATTTGGCAACCAACCCTGCTTTAGCAACCTGCTAGTTTTTTTAGGACACCATTTTGTTTTCACGAAGTAAAGGCTTTTTTTTTTTACTCAACATTTTTTTACAAGAATCTGCTAGCTGAATTACGCTTATACTAGAACTTTTATGGAACAAAGTGCTTAATCATGATGAAGATTAGGTGCAAAATTGGGAGAAAGTGCAGAATCGCTCACTGCTTGCACGTTTTTAAGAATTGCACATACACGGTATCATCCATGTACACGTCGACCTATTTTCACTTAAAAAAAACATTCCAGAGTTGCACAAAAAAGGCATTGCACACACTCTTGACTTTATCCATGTATACTGCTAAAGTCCTAGCTAGTAACCTTTATCGCCTTACCAAAATTTCGCCAAACTACCTGTTACCATATTCCAAAGATTAGCTCAATAGTTTATTTTTTAAGATTATTATTTAGTATAGATCTAATTTTGTGTTGGCTTCCACCATAAATGTGATAATTTGTGCAATATTATAATCAAGAGTTTATTTTTTAAGATTGTTATTTAGTTTCATTGGCGATATTCCCTGTAAATGTGACAATTTGTGCAATATAATCAAAAGTTTATTTTGGCAGAGTCCCGAAACGGTATTTTTACTTTGATAATTTTTTAAGTATATAATCAAGAGCTTATGTTTTAAGAATGTTTATTAAGTCAAGATATATTTTTCGTTGAACGGTTTTGTTGATGATCAACTAATTTTTTTCAATCGTCATTGTTGGGTCAAAGACAGATTTTTAGACAAATTTTTGTCGCCAAATCAAAAAATCGCCAAAAGGACCTATACTAAAGCTGTTCCAAATGTGCATGTGCATTTTAAATAATTAAATAATGCTTTTATTTTTATTATTGGTTATCGTCATCTAAAATTATGAGAATAAATCTATTTTAATGGCATAAAATTTTAACAAGATACTATATTTTTAATGCTTTTCTAACAATAATATTCCAGAGGATGGCAGGTGTGACATAAACAACTGATTAAATTGAAATAAAAAATATTATTGGTTATCTAAGATGACAGAATAGTTTGATGCATCCCCATGGTCATTAAAATTAGCAAACCACTGCTGGTGTAAGGAATACAGTTCAAATGACTCTTGAAAAATAATAAAATGTATAAAGTTCTAATTTTATTAACTGAAAAAAATTTGATTACTGTTGAAGGTTATTTGTATTGTGGAATATATTATGAAAAAGATAGTTGTTTCATCGTAAAATGCTTTAAGCTGTATGCAAGTAACTTGAAAAAAAAAAAATTACTGAAAACTGTTTATGTAAAATGGATGTACTAAAGGGCATGCATTCATTAATTTATTACATGGGCATGGCTCTTATCGAAATATATCAATCAAAGTACTTAAAAATGAAAAAAGACACTTGTAATAGAAATATTAGTATTTTATATGAATTAGAGAAAATACATATAAGTATAATGTAAACATAAGTATAAGAATACTATCTCCCGTTATGTTTAATATATTATTTTCTGTGCTAACTTGAATTTAATACAAATTTATTTTCGTATATCATGTTTAACCCTTTGTGGTGCACTATATTTTAAAGTCGGAATTTCAACAAAAAAAGTTGTATGCAGTCTATCTAGGGCTAAAGGAGTATACAGGTAAAATTTTGTATAAATTGCACTTACTGTTTTAATTCTGTGGGTGTTCCATGAGGTGGAACACTGCGCCGCCAGAGATTTTAAAAGTGCGACTAAGCGAGCATTGCAATGAAGCACGGAAATGAGTAAGAGCGTTTTTATAGTAATGAAAAAATGCTGTATTATGGCTGTATACATGGTTTTCTGCATATACACAACATTCTTGAATAAATATGGATAAAATGAGAAAAATATATGGATATACACAAGTCCTATATACAAATATATCTACAAAATTTTCGATTTCTTAGCTTTGTGAAATTGTTCAAAGCATGTTGCACCTTTTTGATAGAAGCACAAACCAACTTTGCAGGCTTTGAACACAAAACTTATTTTGTGCGGCTTCTTGTTTCGTTCAACAATATGTTTAGAATTCCAAGAAAAACTTGAGGCTGCGTAGAGGGGCCTGGGTAAGATAGATGGATCATCAACCTTCTCACCAAATAAATGAGTTTCATTGGACATATCACAATAGGATTACCCAAGTGGTTCAGGAGCATATATCTCAGTATCGCTGCTAGCTTCATGTTCTGATTCAAAATAAGAGGGTAATTCATGAACCACTTTTAGCACTTCGGAAAGAGTTAGACCTCTTCGCACCATTTATGAAAAATTAATAATAACAAATTAACTACAATTAATACTAACAGTAAAGAAAAATAAGCTATAATATATACATGCACAAAAAATATCTGCACAATTATTGAAAATAAACGGGAATGAGACTAAAAAGAAACAGCAAAAAATTTGCGCAGCTCTAAGTAAAGATGACTCAAGCTACGGATAAACATCCTGCATGAAAATTACTCACAAAAATTTCAAGATGACCATACTAGGGCTTTCATAGCACAAACCACACCTCACCGCTCAAGACTGCTTTGTTTGAATTCATTCCCCCAGAACCACCGAAATAGAAAACATATACAACAGATGTTTTCTCTTAAGACAGATGTCGCGATGCGTAATAGCATGAGATCGCTAAAGGCACAGTGTTCTTGCTTGTCTTGTCTTGTCTTTTGAATGGTTAGGAGGCAATTAGCAGCTTTGCTGCTTTAACCACCGCTTTTGAAAAAAATGCCCTTAGGCGTTGGTATATATAATTGAAAAAATGAGCATGTAACACCGCGCCTACTATGCGAAGCTGAAGCAAATACAAAGGTATGTAGAGTGAAAAAGCATCTGGGAGCTGTTCGAGCTGCCTGTGACAAAAAGATAGATAACTAGCTGAAAAGTATGCTTAATAAAGCATTTGAAAAATAAACATTAAGTAATTTTAAATTAAGTATGCTTTTGAAACAGGTTCAGATTGAATGGATCGTAATTATACTGGTGGGAGTGGCTCAAATGAGGAATAAGTCAACAGTAACATTTTCTGGTGAATTTCAAGAGTTCCCGTACGAGAAATGTAAGTCATTAAAATTAACAGTATTCACAACAGTTCACACTGTACAAAGTTCTGGAAAATAACACACTTTTTAAGAAACACTGTAATTTTAAAAGACACAATATTTCAGCATAAGTCACAGTTTTAGAAGGCGGGATGTGAAACACAATTAATTAATTCAGTTTGTGTTTCCTAACAAAGTCTGTTCTTGCCTAATGGAACACCCCGTTTATTCAGATGCGCATGCTTTTGTATGAAAAATGTAAAAAAATATATAGCAAATAATATAGAGTACAGCCATCAAAATTATACAGAATTGTTTTCAAACAAATTTTTTGTATCACCAAAAAAATATAGAAATTACTAGAAAATAAGTGATTTTAAGAACACATCATAAATGAAAAATTCTGGGTCTCCTTGTGATATGGTGCCATCGACTATTTAAAAAAAAGTATATATTAAAGGCATTTTTTTCCATTTATGGTTTTTTTTTAAGGTTTTTCAGAAGCGATTCAGTGGGAACACTGAGCAACAAAGGGTTAACCTGTTAGTTTTACATCTACATGCTTATTATCTGTGAATTTTTACTGCCATATGTTTAATATATTGTTTTGTCTGTTAACTTGAATTTACATGCACTAAAAATCACGTTTACGGAGATGAGCTTCTTTGGATGAGCCACGAGCTTGGCGAGTAAAAATGCAACGACGCCAACGGGTTCTTTCCCGAAGTGCCAACGCTTTTTCTGCGGATGAAAACCCGAACATTTTGTTGCAGGTGAGAAATCCATATATATTAGATTTTTATTCAAAACTTGAGGCTACAGCTAATTTTTAAAAAATTTTTTGTTGAATTTATTG